GCACTAAATGGGCGACAACCGGTTGGGGGACCTTATCAGACGTCTCACCGTCTATTGTAGTATGCGGTCTTTGTTTTTTTTTTGTAGATTTTTTCATACTGCGCAACAAGGCGCGTCAATTACAGGTGATAGCGATAGAAGCTATGCTTCTTCTTATGAGCACGCTTGTGTCAAATTATCGTCTGTTTTGCTATATTTACATATCCGCGTACACATACACATATACGTATATATATACCCTGCAAACAAATGCTCCCGAAATCTTTAAGAGTGTCGGAAATTTGTTACGATTCTTTTAGAAATCTGTAAAGAAAAACATATGAGGCGGTTGACAAGAACTAGTAAAGAAATTTCTGTACGATTTCTTAAAGAAAATTCTTAAAAAAATTGTGAAACCTTTCAGAATTCTATGAAATCCTGGTATGCAGGGTATACATATACACACGAATATGAATAGATAAAAAAGATGGTGATGACTCAAGGAGTTCATACCAACGGTAAATGTTGTTTTTGTACGATTGCTACAACCTGTAGTTGTTGAATCATGACTGCGCAATTTCATTTTTATACATATATATTATGTTTATTATTCATACATCCCAACTCCTAGGTAATCAGTATATGTATGTATATCTATGTACATGGGTAGCTGTATACAAACAGCCTGCGACCGCTGGAACAGCTGGAAACGAACGACAGGTAAAATCAAAAGGAAATACATAGGTATAAACAAAACAAAAACAAATATGCACATATATACATACATATCTACTGCATATACATACATATTTATGCGTACTTATGTACTCCCTTACCTCCATATGTATGCACATACATACCTGAATATGTACAGAAGTAAGTAAAGCTACTCCATATCCACCACCACTTGCTTCCAGCTGACTCTCTCAAATTTCATCTGCTTTCTATACGCACAGGGTTCGTGCCAACACTTCTAGAAAGGTGGAGTGCGATCTGGAGTTACTGAAGTGGATGGCAGATGAATCAACTCAATACTAGCGAGTGTAGACTTTGTGATCATTCTAGAAATTTGGAGCACACTTTGGAGTAATGGTACAGGTGATGGGTATTTTGGCACAGCAAACATATGTACATACATACATACCTAATTACGAGTTAAGTTCTCCCAATGAAATTTATTTGATACAGCCTCATCACAGCTCCAAAGTCTTCTGTAGTAATGGTGTACTGAGTTTATCGTTCATACATATGTACTTGTTGAGATATTACATTTTGTTAAATTTCCTGCAATACAACTGATAAAATATTTAACCAATTTTTTACTTTTTATATATCGCTTAAAACAGTAATGGAGAATGTAAGTAAATTCACGACGGCGGGAATTGATTTCGAAGTATTGAATAGCACAACTACGAAACGAAGTCGCCGAACCGGAAAATGAAAAAGGCGGAAGTGAAATAAAAAAAACAAAGCAAATATAGGAAAAGTTGAATAAAATCACTAAATAAAATAAAATATTACAAAATGATGATACATATCAAATAATCGTATATAGAACAACATGAAATATATAAAATAAGGTAAATAAAATCAATTAAATTAAAAACTTAGCAACATTTATTAATTTTATTAGAATAACTAATTTCAAACTAAAAATTGGAGTCTAGTGTAGAAGAGCGACATGTACAAAGTATGTATAACGATTTATTTATGTCGTTGAACTGGTTAAGGACAGATATACGCAAAACATGCGATTTCCATCAACCAAGGTTAGTTTGACAAAGCCGATAAGAACATGTTCTATACATACATACGTATGTACATAGTGTATGTATGCACAAACAAAGTACGGAAGCCTAAAATTTCTGCGTTATTTTAAAACAAAAAGCATCCTTGCTATTGCAGCAGAATTTTGCAAAAGTTATGTACATACATACATACACATGTACATATGTAAGCATCGCCATTCCATAAACATTAGCAAACAAAGAAAGCAAAACGACAATTGAAACTACTGGCTATACATGTCCATACAAGCTGTGTATTTGAATTTTATATGAAAACTGACAGAAAAAAATAGATGTTCACTTAAATTGCTTTCGTGAAACCGGCAGTTAATCTTTGATATTCAGTAAAAAAGTTATTAAAAATGATTTTCTGTTATTAGTAGAGAGTATTTTGTTAGAGAGCGTTGTTTGACAGTGTCTTGAGATACGAGGTTTTGCCAAAGTACCGTCGGTATGTATTTATTGCGTGTCTAGAATGCTCACATGTTGGCCACCTAACTTGTTGCTCAAAATAAGCAAAATAATAAAGTAAATACTTTTGTATGCATGTAGAATATTTTTGCGCGTATATACATATGTACATATGTACACTTGCTCATAAATCCCACGCAAAAACATTCTAGCCGGCCAATAGCAACGTGATTATGCGCACACACGTAAGCTAAGAAGTGTGTTTGTTTTTTTTTTTTCAAAGTGCGCAGTCCAATGCCTTGACCGATTTTTTTCTCTGTCTTTGTTTTCGTAACCATATTCGCCGGCTGGTTTATTTTCATACAAAATACAATAAATAACTACGTATGTGTTATCGTTCGTCTACAAGTTTGTAATCAGAAGTTCATTTCATGTGCAATGGTAAAAGAACTTAAGAGCGACTGTTCACCTTCTAGCGGTAGCCCTGTCGCTGTCGGCTTCATGGATAAATGCTTCTAGATTATTCGAGCTGAAAAACACTTGAATAAACTTTCATATCGCATATGATTCACTTGATCAAACCGTCAGATGGCGTATCACTTTACACAAAAAATAAAATAAAAACACTTGTGCACAAAATTTAAACTGAATGACTTGCATTCGGTTTCTTTCTTACATTTCATTTTGCACACAGACAAGCTGCATGTAATGTATTAACACGCATTATTTGACATATCTTCGAAATACACAAATGCAATTATGACAAACATTGAAAAAAACACTAATTTATGCACTTTCACAAAATTCGTTTGCAGGAAACTTCAAAATGGCGAAACAGCTGACCGGATGCCATAAGCACGGAAAAAGTAGCAGCAAATAACCGGGTGTTCCATACAGTTTCCCAAAGGATTGGTTTAAATACAGAGTGGTACTTCCTATGGTTTGAGAATAAGGTGGTGGTGATTCATGGTTGAAAGAGATAAGGTTGCGTATACAACCCTGCGATAAAAAATGTCCATTTCGGTGATGACGGGTGTTTGGCAGCCATGATTGTTTTGTTAAACTCCATACATTTTGT